CACGTTGCCTCGTACATCTTTCTCACGGCCGGAAGCAAAAAAACGGGTGATGGAACGGCTTCACATTGTTGCATCTGCCTAGATATTGTCGACTTATGCAAGAAGATTGACGTCAGAATATGCTACGTTTAGAACAGATACGTATCTTCGTCTGCTTTCGAAATATGTTTGAGGTATCGGTGTTGCAGTAATCTTGCAATCACGTAAAATATGATAACAAAAGCAATAAATCATAGAAATCCTGTAAAAAACGAATTTGAAACACATTATGGAAGCCATCGATTTATGGTGCAATAGATTGTGAAACTACTGATGATTATGATCTGTGTCCGTGAGATTGTCCGTAAGTAATGCAGTTTCCATGCAACATGCTTTTGATCACCAGCTGAGAATTGTCAAGAGGTTAAGCCCTCTGCCGACGATGTGACAATAGGAAAAAATTACAGAACGTAACGCCTGCATCATCCATATACCAAAGTTATCGGTCCACAGACTCTGTCTAGCGGTTAGTTTGCACACAAAATAACGGGAACACATAAGAGACCAATCAACATATTTATTGAAGTTATAAATCCGAAATGGAGGCGAAAAATGTGTTTCTTTAAACAATATTCTTTACAGGTTACGGAGGACAGCAGATTTGAGTTTAAGCTATGAATATGTAAGTAGCCAAACACACATTTTTAAAGCGCCTGCTCTAACAATTGAGGTGCGAGGTCACCTTGAAGGGGCTGAGCTTTATCACTTTCGGATCACCCAGCGAACTTACAAGGATATAATGAATCCATCGGTTAGCATAAAGTCTGTGATTCATTGAGTATCTTCCCTAACAGTTACTGGAATCCACCTAATAAACTTCTTAGGCTGCCCTAATGTTTCCAAATATGTCGTTGGACAGAAAACTGAAGGCAACAGTTTTATGTCAGACACTTGAAAACATTCGTGCACTCGGTGTCATCTAGCAGTTTTTTCCATAGAATGATCGAGAGGAAACCAGAAAAACTACAACGCCGGCGCCTCCAGTGGTTTGGCCGTCTGATTCGTAGGACCGTCACTAAATTCTCGAGACAGGCTGTAGCCCGCGCACCGTGCCGTGAATGGCGTTGTCGACTCAATAGTCAACTGAAGACCTGGAGTAGTACAATCAAGGCCGATTCAGAATTATTGGGCCTCCAATACGTGTATGCAATTCGTAACCGGAACCAGAAATGGGTTTCACACTGCGTCAACCTTGCTACCGATCGTCAGGTGAGGAACACCAGCCTTAGAGATATCTAGGAAGCCGACGTATCCTACAGCAGGAGTTAGTCGATCAAATGTAAGTCCAAAAAAAGTAATGATCAATCGACTTTCTACAATAGTGCTGACCTAGGCAAACAGCATCCGTGACCACCACCCACCACCGTGTATATATACCTATAGTTTGTTCGTACAAGCAGCCAATTAGCTATACAATCAATATATTTAAGCTGCTCCCTGGATCGCCACTTTATTCTTGTAAGTAGGAGTCAAAATTATCTCTTTTTTGTCAGATTTTTGCACATCAATTACATAACTTTTCTTGTCATGTCTGTGGAGGTAGGTCGTGATTCAGTCTGACGTCATTAAGTTTGACACCATGATATTACAAGAAAACATACAGGTAAGTTACTGTTGTTATTACTTTTATTATAACTATTTGTGTTACGGTTCCATTAAAACCGTTATTACGTGATAACGACATTTGACGCAATTTCGCAAACATACATCTTCAGCATACTTAATTTATAAAAGTTATTAAGCGCTATATCGCTTGTATTTAAACTGAGGTTCCATTAGAATTAAATCGTACGGAGACCAGCGATGTTAATAGAGGTTTGTAGTTAGTTTCACTGCTTCGGTCTTGTTCACCGAGCCATTCTCAATAACTCGTCGCAGTCATCTTGTGGGATGAAACTGAAGTGAGAAAAATCGGGTGCAACTGGGACTTCACCTTAAATCGTCATCGATGTATCACTGAATCTTCGCATGAGTATAACTGAAAAACACCATTCCATTTGCTGAATAAAACACATTCAGCTGCTTATGCAAAATCGTTTCCACCTTCCAGTGAACACAAAAGCATTGTGTATAAATCTCGTTGATTGAACACCTCGACTGCGTTGCTGGCAATGTCTCATCGCATTGGCGTCCAACACTTGGCAAAACACTTTGAACCTACCATTCATTATCTAGAAACACTTTAAACCAACCTACGTTACTTTATTGCTACTTCCATATTTCCACCGGCTTGACGACCAATGCACAATTTTAACTGATATGTAAGCATATCTAAGCTTGCAAAAGTTATGCAAATCAATACAAATACAAATATCAATTCTCTTTTACAGGCTTGGGCATTCAGCAAGTTCATGAATACGGCCGGTTGATTATTTTATTCGTTTAGCGCATTGTTGCTGCTAACGTGTTCTTTCTCGCTAATCTAGAAAGCTGTTTCACAAGTGTGAACTCATGAACATACGTTTTTCGGTGAGCAGGCTCAAATAACTCTTTTCTGGAACTTAAAAAAACACTACTAATCCCGTCTTAACCCCTCTCTTTTAGTGAGCAAAAGCTAATTGCCTCTTAATTTCTAGACAGCAAACCATCTGTGATGAAATTCTCCTCATATCGGACGAGCTAGCTGCGTTCATTTTGCAGAACGGAAAACAGCCCTAAGCCGAATGGTCTGGAAAAGTCCTTGCAATCATCTTGAAGACGGGTGTCAATACTTCTACAAGCAGGCGAAAACTTTGGTCAAGGTTTTTCACGTCCGGCTGTTTGAGCTGAAACTTCACATTGCGCACTTCAGTTGAAGTCTACAGTCATTATGACTCCTTGATCCCCGGAGCTGCTCATGACGCCCAGATCTAACTGTGTACACCTTCAGTTTTCAGCGAGTTTTGGGTTTTGAAGATAAACTAACTCTTCGCTGCATTCAGTGACACCTCTCATTTATAACACCCATTGATCACATGCGAAATGTCATGTTTTATGCTTGTTCTTCCACAATATTCAATTACGTTTCCGTGTGCATTTATGCGATAGTAATCTATGTTAGAAATCCAGAACAGCAGAAGTTGAAACGGATTGAAAGCGATCCAAGTAGCTTGTCGATAATGTCCTAAATCATTGAGTAAACTTTATCCTACACTTACGCAGTTATTATTTATCAATCCATTTACACTACGTTCCTATCATCCAATAGAACCTAGCTACAGGAATGAGAATTGCATCACTGATGGTCGTGAACCTGAATTGACGATTCGGTTCCATTGTGACTACTCGAATTGGAATCTTGAAAAAATGCCGGTCACCACAATTTTGAACTGATAGTAATAGATAAAAAATCTCTCTTTCCTACTCCGGACACTTTCAGTGCCCATTATTTCTTTCAAGAAAATGCTTATTCAAATGACAAACAATTGTACGCAGTACGTTAATCCTGACTCAACTTAGTATTTTCTATGGTCACAATAGACCTCCCACACGCAGACGTTCAGGCTGACCTTGGTTGAATAAACATTGCCTAATTGTTCGGATAAGTCGTAGCTCATGCTTTAGTCATTAAACAAAATAGACTTCAAATTTGCAACCATACAGCGTTTATGAAAATGCCTTTTGGGTTCTGATTTTGCTGTAATAAATTATCAGATGAAACAACAGGTATAAAATGACAGATGCAACTGTCCCACTACATCGTTTATTTCGAGGGATCGTGAAATTAGAGGAGTTGTATACCTTCATTAGCTAGATGAGGCGCAAGAATCATTATTTTATTGAACACTAAGCCAAGTTTACCCATTTTGGGTTTCCAACAGCAGCGAATTTCACGAAATCATATGATAAAAGGTTCACAAAACAATGAATAAATTAGATAAGAACGCACGAAAAGACATATAACAAAAGCGTACTGACTTCTCTCTCCAGGTTCGCAAAGCAGTGCGTGTATATTTATTCCATCAAAAAAGATACAGCACAGTTCCGCGTGAAATGCTACGCAAATGTGAACTGATGATAACAGACTATTTGTTTCCAATTGCTAATAACCAAGGATTCAACATGTGCGTATGAGGTACTGGAATCAAAGCACAACAACGGTCACGTGAGTGTATATTTCAAGTTACTAATCATCGACATCCTGTCAAAAGACGACTGTGGAGCCCAGTATAAAGACCAATGCATAACAGCGCATATCAACTCAGAAAAAATGAAATCAAATGTTGTGATAATACTGTTGATAGCGTTCCGTGCCAGCAAGATCGTCGGTAAGTAACTCAGTATCACGAAATATATTTTCCTATAACCAGCACAAACTGCACAGGATTGTAAAGAAGTTAATGCAACAAATGAAGTTCAGAAGTTGGTTGTATTGAGCAATGCCACGGGTTGTCAATACCGTGTCAAATCGGAGTCTGTTAAAGCGGTGAAAGTGTTTGTTACTGTAAGTGAACATCAACTCACACGAACCTAACTGAGATTATGAAACGTGAAACATTGAATGACTTGTTCTAGTTACCTTTTTCATAGGCGACGAGTGGAACCAAATGTGTGAAGGTATCCAGTGATGGGAAATCGGAAACCCTATGTCCATCAGGTTCAACGAATCATTTTACATCCAGCTCACCGATTGACGTGAGTGCAGATTCTGACACGACTGGTTCAGATGCAACATCCGCACCTACGACAGCAGCTACGGAAGCACCTGGACCAACAACGAAACCAAAGCCTGAAGATGATGAAGATTCGAAAAAAACGGACCCATCAGGTGAACACGGAAAGGGTGTGAGTTCAGAAAAGGAATTGGGAGAGAAGGCTGATAGGGAAGAAGCTGGTTCGAGCAGTAGCGATGGAGGTGCAGGACAGTCGAGTGGAAAAGACCAAAGACCAGCTGAAAAAGAAACATCCGCGGCAAATTCAGCTGGTGATCGTGTTCACCTTATCAGACTGGCCAGAGAAGCTTCTGAAATCGAAGGACCTGATGACGTAATTGTGTATTACGTATTGGGTGAGTATTTTACAGCTGTTTATACAACAGAATCCATGCGAGAACTACTCGATTGTTTGAAGTATATAATTCAACAGATCTACTGAATCCAAATATCCGCACCTACTGATAATCTTCTCTTTTCTACGATAATCCATTTCAGACCGCGTGTCGAAATGCAATCCATCAATGTTCCTAATCCTGGGATTCATTGCTCATCTGATCCTCAGTAATCTATAACGAGTGATGATGTGCAAACCCTCTCAGTTACCTTCCTTATTTCATGATTTTCCAAACATCAATGTACTTGTTTAGAAAAACTGGTCAGTCTGATAAATTAATGGAACCACTTTTCCATATTCCTTTTCCCGAATCCATGAGGAAATGAATGCATCAGTATTTGCTCGGAAACTGAAACCTTTTAAAATCCCGATGAGTAATAGTATGTAACCAGAAACGCGTCCGTCCTTTTTGTTTAACGTTTCGCAGATTCAATAGGTGAGTCAATTTACAAGAAAAAAATAGTGAGCGCACATAAGAGATAAACAAAGGTTACAACTTTAATCAAGTGATTATTTAAAATGAGAAGCAAGAAGATTTTTGCTAGAACGAAATGTTGAATACAGCGATAAGTTATGAGTCACAACAGGTTTTCCTAGAACATACCGGAACCCACTTGATAAACCTTTAGAGCTTGGAAATTTGTTCAAAATATTTTGTTTAGGAGAAAACTGAAGAGAATGGTTTGTATTTGATTTGAAAAAATCCATGGATTCGTGTTCTTGTAAATTCTATCACATGATGACGGAGTACAAATAAGCAGAACTGGTGGATTCGAATCCCATTGAAGCTGGTGGCTTTTTCGCAACACATATTTAAGAATGTTGTCATCAGTAATCTGCAAAACACCACAGTTTGTACCCAAACTCACTCTATTCATGCAGCATAAAGCAGATCAGGGTTCACCGACGGACCGATGATTCATCTGCATGTAGAAGATGAAAAATCTACTGAGAAGTTATTCTTGCTTCTTTGATCCCCTTGGTAGTAGTAATTATTGCTGTTGTTGTTTTAACATTAGTAATATCACTACCAGTAGTAGTAGAAGTCCACTCAGATAACCTGCAAACAAAGAACATATCACTCATTCGACGTTGATTACGCGTTCTAAGAAAAACAAGCCACCTCATTTTCAGGCCCGCCTCTGATACTTCAGCTTCAAACAAATTAAGCGTATACAATGATGATTTGTTGTTTGACCCCACCGTGTTTCGCAGACATGTTTACATTCATTGCTGTCAGCTATGGATTAAATGGCTTTAGTTTAACAAATCAGTTAACAATTCCACAAACAGGAAAGAACACACGGGAACCACAATAAATCAACGAAGTGACAAAACGTTTAGAAAATCAATGAACAATAAAGTGTAATTTAGAGTATAAAGCTTGGATCAGGCCATTCGATTGTTCAGAGGCAACAGGCGCTCCTGATGGTCTCCGGTGTGGGTTTCACACCTTGGGCGATCGGTAATTCTTGAACTTAGATGCTTACATGCTGTCGCGTCCGGTGACTGACATTCAGACTATCAAAAGTACTGAAATAAAACACATCCAGTTAGAGACGGGAACGGTGAACATGCCTGTGCGTGCGTTTTTGCATTGTTTAATAGGCCACGGGATGCCAAACGGATAGCGATTCAGACGAGTGTGGAGATGGAAAAGCGAACACCTATGCCGCGACGGTCGTAAGGGTTCCGGGGAGGGCGGGATAGTCGGCCCAATGAACATGTTCACTGAGTCAGCTCAGTCACTTAGTCTGAAAAAAAGAGTGAAAAAACATAAAGAAAACGATAAAGAAAAGATATGTGCCTGTGTTTATGAAAAAGGCGAATCTCGTTGGGGAGTGAATCGAATTCAATAACTTCATCATTAGTACATGGTGGAGTTTCTCATGCACTGAGCAAACGATACGTGAAGTGAAATGCTACTAAGCACTGGACAGCTGTTGCGACCGGTTTGTTTTTCGTCAGCAGTGCGAGTCCATGGATCCCACTGGGGATCGAAATCGGCACCTCGCAGGTGGAACGCGAGCCCATCACCCACTCGGCCACCACGCAGCTAATAAGTTAGTTGATAATAACATTATACTCGCCATCTATGTCAGCTGAGCACATCCATCGCATTTCGCATATGTCTCCACTAGTCAGCTAAAAATATACCAACCCGAAAGCATGCTTTCTTTGAAGTGAAATAAGAATAGGTGCCTCTTTATCCATACCACCAGTGGTACGACGCATCCAAATATTGGAATGATGCCGATTTGTACTCTTTTGAATTCAACCAACTCACGATACGACACGATTCAGAAGTTAAGTCAAGTACCATTTATAAACCAAATAAATTTCCTTTATAATGACATTCCTTTGGTAACAAATGACGGTCGGCAACAATTCAAACGAGATTATTCCCATCTTATGAGGTAAAATTATGCGTCGAACACGAAATGGTTTCATGCATCAGTTGATGATTTTCGGCATACAATTTGAAATGTCAACTTTCATTTCAGTAGGCTATTGAATTTCGGAAGGCATGAGGAGTGAGCTTCGTTGTGTTTCTTCCTACGTGCGTAAGTGCGGCAATAAAGTTTGTTCCTGTCAAATCTGGAACATGACAGAAAACTGAGAAATCGGAATCATAGTAACCAGTAGCGAATTTAAATAGATAAACCCAAATCATAGTGTTATACAATGTATCCTGTGTCACTTCAATGCATCTGTATACGTGCATACTGCAGTTTATGTGGTCATTCATATGTGGTCATTGAACAATAGAACGTAGGTGGAGAAAAATTCCGGTGAAAATTTCTCACCAAACAGATTTGTTACCAGAGTGATAAGCTATTCACGTTGTTTACACAGTTGGGGATGGTAATATTGAAAGTCTAGTGCCTAGGCGTATATCAGAACCTGTGTGCTTTTTGTGTTATAGAGGATTCTGAACACGTCGCGCAGCATGACACGGGGTTTCATTTCGGTCACGATTTGTGTGGTCGACGAACTTCATTTCCTACAGGTCATCGGAGACGTCCTACTTCCGAAGTTCCCACTCATTGTTTTCCAAAGCCACACCGGGACGAGCTCGGTTACTTGGTAATTCAGTTGTCTCTCTGTCTTGTCGATGTAGATGGCCGAGCGTCTACACTTGAATAGATACATACATTTAGATTTGGCGTAGAGGCCAGCGATTCCTTCTCCGAGTGTATTGAAAAACGATTGTAAAGAAAACTATTATGTCAACTGATTGTTTTTTTCGCCTAACGAGTTTGGTAAATGACCAGCTTTGACATCCACTTTGACGGGCATTTGCAGTTGCATTTTCTCGTATACCGTTGATTTGGGAGTGCTTGAAGACGAAATCTTTTGCATATCTAATCTAGCAAATCTCGCCATTTTGGTTGTTGAGTGTATCTGCTAAGCAGATCTCTGTCGCGCTGTAGAAGAGCGTTCAAACTAGACTAATCTTNATCTTATATCCCATTTGAACAAAGCCAGTGAAATAGAGATATCTTCCAAATCATGTATCCTTTCGGTTAGCGGTTTTTCTGATTGGTCCATCCGAATGACGTGAAAATTCCTCATCCAGAATAACGATGTTCACTTATGTTTCACTGTAGCTTGTAACTGTTATGTTCGAGTGAAGATTATTCAAGTGTTCAAATAATCTCTCCCTGAATTCCAATGCGTCACAGATGATGAATATTTTATCGACATATCGGCAGTAGAGATCTGGCTTCTCAAACTCCGGCAATTCATGTTCCATGTATCCGACAAAAATAGCCTCAAAAATGGGCCTCAGTGGACTGATCATAGTGACGCCATTTGTGGATATCGCTGGCCTAATAAAGAGAACTTCATATTGCGGGTGGATAAGAACATAAGGTGTTCCAGCTCATCCGTTGGTAAGCCAACGTGGATGTTCTTTCCTTCCCTAGTTTGAGGAATATTCTTAATTCTCTAGAGTAGGGGGCATACTGATGAGAGGCCCGTCTACATCCATTGTAGTCATGGGTTCACTTTGAATGTGTCACTCTTTCAGTAATGTACACGGCTGAAAACTTTCTTTCTTATCCTATTGGAAAATGGAGTCTCTTGCCGCGTTCAGAGCTTCCGCTAACCATTTGGTTACTTTGGGTTGTGAGTTACACGTGGACCTATTGGATCACAGTGGAATGTATTGTTTATGAAACTTTCGTGTAGGATGTGTACTGTCTCGTCTATGTTTTCTTATGCTGGATGCTTCTACGAATGGAACCATCTGATCGTCGAGAAAATAACACATTGCGAAATGTGAAAAATATGTGGATTTCGTTTCCACCCTGAAATTCATTGTTTGAAGAACTACGGTGTGTGAGTTATGGGCTTAGGAGAGCAAATAACTCGATTTCATGTTCTGGGTCTCTTTCTCTGCTAGATCCAATCACCTTCATATCATCAGCAAAGTTTTGGCACGGTGGCTAATTAATTTCGGTTATCTCAATGATGTATAGCAGACAGTGAATCTGATCAGAGACCGACCGTTTAGGTGCACGACTAGTAGACTGAAAGCCAATACCAATTTTTATTGTACTCTGACACGATAGTATACGTTTAGCAAGAAATCTGTGATACACCCGAATGATGCTCTCATTATTCCATAAAAATCCTTAATGTTTCTAGCAAGAGCGCATCACTGATGATGAGGATGATGACATGACGATTCGGTTTCATTGTACCCACGGAAATGAAGCGTCGAAAAAATCCGCCCGTCCAAGCAGTAAACTGTCACATCAGCCTGTTGTTTTGAACATAAGAAAGGAAATTTTTCATTGTGTTACTCTGTAGGACAGAAAATTTTCACTACAAATGGTTTCACTGTATGGACAATAGTTATTTAATGATCTTCTGCAGTTAAACCTACCTCGTTGAATTACCTCACTGGTTTTCAGGTTATCTGATGATTACTCATGAAAGCGCTCACCATGCTAATTGTTTTAGCATCTTTGCCGGATACAGCCACTAAAATTACCATTACTCACATTAGAACCGCCTATACGAAGTCAGTGTGTATTAAATTCTTTCGTTTAAAGCACTGAGAATGTCGATGTGTTGCGATACGGAACAGCCAGAGAATATGGGCGGATAAAACTATAAAAGTAATTGTCCTACTTGAGAAACGCTTCTGAGGACAGTGGACTGATAAGAGTTCGCTGGCTAAAAGTAAAAAAGCTTACATTAATCGAATGTACTTATCCGGTATATGTATCACTTGCTTTGAAAAGAAGAAAATTCATCATCGACTGAAATAAAAGAAGTTTCCACTCAAATAGCAGCAACAAAGAAATGATAAATGAGAATAAACCTCATGAATAACAGAAATCATTGATCTCCGGTGAAAGCAATGTTCCACTCACCGCATTTTCCTGATTCTCCACAGTCGCAACGTTTTGCACAGTCATCAGAAACTATTCATCTACTAAAGTAAATCTATGTAGTATGCCTCAGAATATAGTGTGACGCAAAAGTATGCTAATTTGAATTACTGACAGGATACTGTGTGAGTTCATTCCTTAGGGATAATGGCACCGATGAGGAAGTATCACATTTTGGTACGAAGCTACATAACAGTCACGTGAATTGATATTAAAATTTACCAATCATCGACATCCTTCCGGAAGATGCATGTGGAAAACAATATATAAGCCAGCAGTTACTTGGAAACAACAACTCAGAGAAGATGAAATCAAATATCGTGCAAATATTAGTGATCGCTGTGTATGCTAGCAGGATCGTTGGCAAGTAACCCGCGGTTGGACAAAATTATCTTATTTTTCAGCACAAGGTCCACAGAGCTGTAAATACGTTGTCGCATCGAATGAAGTACAGAAGGTCACGGTATTGGGCAGCGACACCGGTTGTCAGTACCGTGTCAAATCGGATTCCGGTAAAGCGGTGAAGGTCTACGTTAATGTACGTGAACAATAATTCAAATGAATATAAGTTGGACAGTAAAAAGCAAATATTGATTATATTTCCGAAATATTTCATTTGTTTACAGGCAACGAGTGGAACGAAGTGTGTGAAGGTTTCTAGTGAGGGGACGTCCGAGACGCTCGGTCCATTACTTGCAACAAACCAGTTTTCATCCAGCTCACCGATTGAAGTGAGTGCGGATTCCGACACGACTAATTCAGAGGCACCAACGGCAACAGTACCCGATGCAGCAACTGAACGGAACACAACACCTGCAGATTCACCATATCCCAAACCACCAGGGGATAATGAACAGAGTGACCAATCGCGAGATCCACAAAAACCACCGGCAGGTTGTCAACACAACCAAGCATCAGGGACTAATGTACAACCAGACGAACACGTAGAAGGTAATTACCAAGGTAAACAATCAAATGAAGGCCCAGCTACTCTCATTCATGCACTTCTGAGGAAAGCCAGGGCTAATTAGAAGAGACCGATGGATCTAACGACGTTATTCCGTACTACGTATTAGGTGAGTATCAGAAAGCAGCGACTTCTTTGTACATGTCAGTTGTTTCTTAAGACAAAGAACTGCTCAAAGTATACTTTTTTGCTATTCATTTTGTGTTGCTGTTCTTTTTAAAAGCCTACTCACAGTCACGTATATCCTATTCTGCTCGATTCCAAGCGTTGTATCAGCGTCAAATACTCCAGTATTCCTAATTTTCGGGCTCGTTGCACTTCTTATCAATGACAGTTTATAATGAGTTGCGTAATGTAATTTGTTCGATGTCCCTATGATGAATTTTCATTGTATGACTTTTCTCAAAGTAATTCTTTTGTGTGATCAACGCGAGTAATGAAAGAATTTGATTTTGATTTTGCAGAAAACGAACGCGTGCACTGGTCACGGAGAACTCAAGTACCTGGATAACGTTACGGATAAGTTCAGTGAAATTAATAAACTAAAATTCACTCAACGTTTTTTTGATAAATAAAAACAAAGGTGTGCTTACTGAGGGTTTTATCATGCATCTCAATCCACATATGTGGATATGAAGAAGCGCTTCAGATAACGGCAAACAAACGGTATCTTTCCATCCTGTTCTCGATCTCATGTTTAGACGATAGCAATTGTGACGAAAGGGAACAGCTAGTTTTCTAATTTGGCATACAAACCGGATTCGTCAGATTCAACGTGAATAAGACAGCAAGTTATTCGACAATAGAAGGTAGTAAATTTGAAATGTGTTCAACCAGTGAGAGCAGCATGTATTTGTTCAACTGCAAAACCGGCGTCTGTCAAAATAATTATTCAAAGTGAAACGAAGTACACGTTTCTGTAACGGATGCGAGTTACCAGGTTATCAAAATTTGTCCGGAACGGTCAACGCCATCTTTAAGCACTGAATTGTTTTTTTATTTATTCGATATTCAACATTTTATAATCGAGAAGTTCCTCTTTGCTTATGTTTCAATTACAACCTTATGATGTACAGCTTTACGGTTATTACGGTGTATCGTGTTTTCAATAACAACAGATAGCCAAGCTGCATCCTCCTTGGTTTCTCACTATTATGAAACTTGAGTGTTTTCATCGGTGTACAGCACAAACACGCTCTCCGAGGAACATCATTGTACACATTGATCATTCCATCTGGCATTATCTTAACATATTCCAAAATACACATGTTTTCGTTTTTAAGGCATAGTTTATTAAGCTACGTCTCCAATGGTTTTCATGTTTGCGAGCAGTGGAATAACCAGCAGAATAGAGTACCACTTTTTCTGTGGTTAACCAGTTGCACAATAATTACGGCTATCTATTGCGATTGATGTTGCTTTCGTCTGCAGACACTTTGTTGATTTCGTTCCTAATTTATTTTCCATGCACATACAAATCAGTTGCCCATGAAAGGACGCATTTCAATGTGACATATTTGGTTAGGTGATAAATCAGAGATTGCAAAATTTCTCGAGGCACACGCACATTCATGACATTTTGGATATATTTGTTAAACCATTTCAACCCTCTCATGGTAGCATGTTCTCTATACAAAAAGGGAAACCCCTAACGGACCTAAGACATGCAGCCAAATACACACTAATTCAAGTGAAAACATCTTAGACGCATGAGGTAACTTAATAGTGGTGTCAAATCAAGTGAACGGGTGATTGGTTGCTTTCAACCGAGGAAAACATTTTCGGTGACTTTATGGTTTACTTCACTTGTACAGGATTCGTTAATTTGCTCCAAAACATTATGTGACTGCGATCGGTTACAGCAAACAATTTCTCCAATTGTAAAGTAAAACTATCCTTGGGATTATGATGTCATAAATTGTACATGAGTTCGTTTATTGGATACAGTGGAATTGCTTTGAACAGCTATTTATAAAGTCAATAAATCATACTCTTAGGTAGGACTGATTGCATATCACTTGATTGACCTTTGCACAAGCGACAATTGCACGAATTAGACAAATAAAGATAACGTTTTACCCTGCACCCGAATCAGCCCACCTCTCTCTTGCTGTGTCCAATATCTCTGGAAATACGCACACTGAAAAGAGTGATACCGATTCAGTCAGTCATTTTTCTCAAAATGAATCATAGCTCACTTACGCGAATTTCTCTCTCAAGAATCGGGCATCGTGTAGAGCGATTAGCACTAACTAACTCGTGCAAAATGTGTATGATACTATATGTGTAAAGCAGGTTACTTGATGACGTAGACAGGTAATAACGTTTACACAGAAGACGCATGTATCTTTGATAAGAAACGAGGAGTACTCCAAGTCTGTGATTTTTGACCAAAAATGTTGTGTTCCTATTTGTGAGAACTATCCACTAAAAACCCAAAGCATTTCTTACAAATCAGCGTCACATTAAACCATTGAGTGAAATTTTGACTTTTCTCGTCTGATCTTTTCCAACTATCTAATGAGAATCGGACAGGTGACAACCTGTGAACTCCTATCCGACGCCTCCCACAAAGTAAGGATTTCCACGCAGGATACGGGCTGACTGGCCGCATACCTATCAGGCTTGAATGATATTCGATTTTGACTCACAGTTGCTTCTGAGTGCGTGGGATAACTGATATTAATTGATCTGGGTGACTAACCTGCAGACAGGACGGTGTAAATGCACTATTGATGAGCTATAATAAGATCGAAACTCGGGTCCGATTCTTCCAAATGTACGAGTGAATCGATGAACTGAGGTCTGTGCGTGAAGGTGAAGTTCGAAGGAAAGTTCTGTTCTTTTAGTCGAAGGTAACATGCAGTAATCTAAGGTTGGGGTTCAAAGGGAGAACGTATCGTTCAAGTGCATGGCTTCACCGACAAATAGTGAATGGCACAACTCTGAATCAGTCCGTTTCACTGAATAACTTTTAACGATAATTCATCCCAACGTGATCGAGTTAACCGAAATACATTTCACGCATCATGGTTTGTATTTTTGGCTATCAACGGAAAGCAAGTGGCTTGTACAAATAGAAGTTAGCTAAGATTTCTTTGAATACCTAAACCGAAGAACAAAAATTATTAAGCAACTGTTTTGAGACAAAATCTCACTTTGACGTCCTTTTACCTTATTCAGGAATCTTCATTCTCAGGTTATAGGTAATCACCGAACAGTTGTTTAACACTGTAATCCATTACGGAATATTCAATTAATCTAAAATAGATTAAAAAAAATACCGGCCTGACAGACTCAAGTCCTTTGTATTTCACGTGATTTGCTTGAGACGATTCATCTATTCGCTTAAACTACCGCGTTGTTCGTGTTCCCACACAACATGGAATTAGACGTCTTGTAATCTGAGGAGAGTCTGTTTGCTGTGAGCGAAATAAATTACTGGTTAATTTGGCGTTCCTTGGGTAAGAACCATGACAGTGATGCAAGTATTACCCATATGTTTTTGCGTTTATTGAGAACATCAATATTATATTATCTGTGGTGCGCAGCGAAATATTGCCGGATACACTGTGCAGCGTATTCTCTATCCAACTTCATTATGATAATTCGTTATTTAGGAACTTTCTCACGTGTGCCATACTTAGGTGTATTTACATTTTTGCCGAATCAGAGCACTAAATTTCCATTCTGAATGAAATGATTCATTTCTTTAGTATTTGCACCGCGCAGAAAACTGCTAAATCATCACTGTACAGGGCTCGCTGTCGTAAAGCATCAAGCTTTCCAGAAAAACCTCAGAAATCTTGCAAATGCTAGCTCGAAAGCTACACAAAAAAACTGATCGACCCTATCGGATGTAATCATGTACGTTTGAACGAACCATCATTTGTGTATCATTGGAATTTTATTTATTTTTCTACCAACGCAGTGAAACTAACACAACTTCATTGTTCCGGGAAAAGGGAATCATTTTTAGATTACAGCTCAATAAGACCGACGTTTCCTAATGAATGCGAAACGGGCATTGGTATAATATGTCATCCTGCGCTCCGATACGGTTCCAAGTACTGTATTCTCCCAAAAAGCTCACTCCTTTGAATTCACAAGCTCGATATTACTTCGATCACCGATCGTCAATAAGTCAGAGTACTATGGATACTGAAGCACGGTTTAAAGCAAGATTTGTTGACCCGGAAAATTTGTGTAGACATTTTATCTCGACAGCATAATCTTGTAAGTGACAATCACGTAGAAGACTTAAATGAGATCAGACGCAACAAAGATATCATCATTGTAGCATCGGATGAATGATAGCGATTCGTCAAGACGGAATGAATAAATCCCATGGCGAAAGTGGTGACCATCCTGGGTTGTGCCTCGGAATTTCGAAGTGCATCGAGGTAAAGAATTTTATACACTAATAAAAAAACAGTCTCACTAGATGTAGAGCTGTTAGTTACTACTCACATTTGTGAGTAGTAGTTAGCATACTTGATGATTATTCTCAAAGTGTAAAAATTGACAAGATCACTGAGAGCAATTATCTGGTTCTCAAAGAAGAACTATTGATTTTTACATTCAGTACCCTTCGCGTGGACAGGAACTGCGATGTCACGTTTCTGGTTCAATAAACTAGTATCCTCGACCAGCACCGCCTTCTGGAATTATAATAACTGGAGCCATCTCAAAGATTAGGATAACTATTCCGTGGCCTGAAGCTTTCCAGAATGGAGTCGTGCGTTCGTTTCTGAAGGAGTTCGAGGTCCCCTTGAGGTTGACAGGAAAACGTTCGGACCAGGGTAAGTTAACGGTACTCCGAGCGCTTTTCAAGTGCAATGTTGGATGCGGCGAAACGAGGCCCGTAAAAGATGGAATGGGCCGACACGGAGGACCCCCGGACTGCGGGTTTTTACACCACGGCAGACAGCCAGCATGCCTTGCGGAGCTTTACGTTGGTGCAGAGCCGAGTGGACCACATGTCGCATGCCGTGGCCCTACGTGCCCTGTCGACTCGGGGGCGCCCAACGTTGAATGATACCGCACGTGACTTCTCATGGAGAATCTGCCGGGAGAATAGCGTGAGACAGCATGGGTACTTACTGCGAAGAAGATCATGGATGTATTCAAACTAGCGGATGTCATAAGGGAGTTCACTTGCAAGAAATTCACTCATGTCCAACTAACCGAAGGCCATAGACGCCAACCGACAGGAAATGCGGTAACCCTTTAGGAATCTACGGAGGTGGCGGCTATCCGAACATACTACGAACAGAAATTTGTCAGGAAGGGAAGTTACAAGCACGGGAAGGCTGAGTGCTGGCGGAGAAATTGCTCTGAAAAACAGCACCAAACGTCTATCAGAGAACCCCTCATTTCGGTCGAATTAGTGTCTCCATACAAATTCACTTCACAAACGGCTGATCGTTGATAAGTACACACGCGGGCAACGTGTGTTGTCAGGTGCCAGTCACATTTGTGAGTAGTAAGTAGCAGAGTTGGTGATTACTTTCAACGACCAAAAATCAGCAAGATATTTAGGGGCCATTTGCTGAGTCCTGACGAAGAATTATGAATTTCTGAATTCAGGAACCGTCGCGTGACCAGGAACTGCGATGGTAGAATTCTTTTTAGAATTTAGTGTTATGTATACCAAATTTGTGATGCTTCACCTGAAATCCTCAATATACGATTCCGCTTGACCATCGCTGCCCTCGGGAATTACAACAGTTGTAGTACTATTTGAAAGGTAACTCAGATTTTTTCATGGCTGATCAATGCCAGCCTCGTGTATAGCAACAACTGAGACATGTTCAAGATTTATTGTAAGAGCTACATGCAAGCTCAAACCTCTCTGGTCTCGTCCAATGTTGTTTCGTTTGATTGATTTCTTTGGTAAAACCTACAGATGTGATATACGTTTTGATGTAAGAGTTTATGACATGATAAAAGCTCACCACTGAAATGGAGACAAATATGCAAATCGTGCTCGTTTTAGTGGGTAGCCACAAACAACTCAACTAAACCATGGACACACCTGATTTATNGCGGAAGTTTGAGACTTGTGGGTACATCGTTTGTAGAAATGATTTCTCTTTGTTGCTTCTATATCGATATTATCAACATTCCGATGTAAACCAATTCTCCATAAATCGTGACGTCAGAGTATTCTATTTTTAGTCCCAGATTAAGTCGTATTCACACGACGTTTAAGGATTACAGGTTCAGCTACTACTTGTAACGTATCGGAGTTGAAATAATCTCACAATCACGTGAATTATAATAAAGATAGTTACCGACCATCGACATCTTGTCAAAAATAAATTCAAGACAATTTGAAAGTCAGTGGATCCTGGCGCATTGGAAATAGGAAAAATTAAACCGAACATCATACAAATTCTGTTTTATTTTCNNNNCAACGCAGTTTCCATGCAATATGCTTTCTATCATTGGCTGAGAATTGTCAAGCGGTTACGGCTTCTACGGACGAAAAGAGCCTTGTTGTCAAAAGCACTAGCACTGGCTGCCAGTACTATATCCATTCGGATTACGGTGAAGCCTCAACGTAAGTAAACAAGAAGGTTTTCCAGTGCAGATCGAACACTGAAGATTGAAACATTTATAGCTTCATTGCAAAAATGTTGACTCACCTTCGGGAGACGAGTGGAACCAATTGACACCTGAAGATAAATCCGAAAGTCTGTGTCCAAAAATACAACGATGACTTACACAACCACCTGCGCGATTGATGTGAGTGCGGAGTAGTCTATCACGACTAATACGGGCGCAGCTATAACTGCGGTGCCGCCTAAAGCTACAAGACGTGCGAATTCGGTACCATCAGGAATTGGAGGAGGAAAGAATGTGGGTGAAAATTATCCAGGGAGGGCAGAAAAAAGGGAAAGAGAAGTCAGACAAAGGAGAAGCGGCATCGGTACAAAAGTCACCAAAGGAGGCAGCTTCTGTTCCTGCTCCCAGTCACCTAATAAGGCAAATAAGAGGACCCTCAAACAGCGCTAGATCTCACAACGTAACTGTGTATTACGCATTGGGTGAGTGTGTAACAGCAACCCGATTTTCGTGTAAAATAATCAGTCAATCAAGTGTTTGAATAATGTGAGTTATCACTCCACATGAACAATTGCAGGAGCTCGCGACTCAGGTAAACCGACAACAAAAGTAAGCGAACAAACCACACGATTTGGTCTATTCAGAAACATTGTTCATTATCGACCNACATGACATTAGATTCATAAAACAGGAACAATTGAGCAAAAGATCTCGGGGAATACGGCGCACCAGTTAAACCATCATGTTGAATTTGAAGTAAAGAATAACGAAAGCATTGATCAAAAATTAAGCAAGAATTATAATTATTTTATGATTTAATTTAGTCACTGTTCCACAGGCACGTTTCTGAGGTCCATTAGACATATATACGCGAGTACAAGCTAACGAGGACATCAGTAACAAACGATAAGAATAATATATAGTTTATTCATTTAAGTTGAGAAAGGAAACACATATGAGTAAATATTATCAACCCTTCACCAGCATTTGACCTTTGATGACCAGAAAAGAAAACAGATCGAAGGCTTGCTCCAAACTGAGAGGCGCTGATAAAATGCTCATAAAAAGGGGAAGCAAAACTGAGCTACAAATTATCCAGTAGAAGAGGTAATTGTTCAAACAGTATTCATAAATCACGTGTACATTCGAATGCAAGAAATATGGAGGTTATTACATTTGAATCACAGTTAGGGGTGTTATTCAAAGGACCCTATGCCTCAATATAATTTACTCTCTAAGCTATTGAGGCCATAGTCAGAATCCGCTCATGCAACGAATCAGTCGAAAATTCAAGGCAGAACATAGTGACCGATTTATCGAATCTTCTTGATATGATTTACCTCCTTACCCGACCAACTGAGGTCAATTAGCATCGGGTTGGTTAATTCTCGTCCAAGGCTGACTCCTTCAACGGTTGAGGACCTCGCGTTTCATGGTGATGATGGGGGAGGACGAACAATCTAACCCAAGCCCACTGATCGGTTTATCACTCAAAAGTTTTTTTTGTTTGTTAAGAGTAACATGTTTGGAGTATACGATTGTTCAGAGGTTTCGTTTATGCACCTTGGGTAATTCCTAAAGCCGCGGCGGCGAGGATCCAGTCGAAACCAGCTTTGGGAAAACCGCTTGTGATATGTGACCGTCTAACTTTATTTCTTCCAACATGGAGGTTAACATAGATTCCGTTTGATATCTCATGTCTTTCATACGTGATCTGGCGGAAAACGTCGTGGTGTCGCTGAGGGTATTCCAGCCACCCCCCTTATCCGGTAGAAATATTATAATAGTCGTGTTTGAAGTAAAACTGTTTTGTCGTCGATGTATTTCTGTCACAACCGTTCTTGCCGGGGTTCGTGTGTTCTGATACTGGTACACTATTACCACCGGTATCAAATAACTATTGTCCAAAGTGATATGTAGAAAGTTCCCTGCAGGTGAATCGCATCTCCTCACTACCACTCGACCCTTGGTGTCCCAGCGAATAAACTATGAGTTGCCTCTTCAGTCGAAANAGTAAAAAAAATTTGTCGTCGATGTATTTCTGTCACAATAGTTCTTGCCTGGGTTCGTGTGTTCTGATACTGGTACACCATTACCACCGGTATCAAACGACTTTTGTCCAAAGTGATATGTAGAAAGTTCCCTGCAGCTGAATCGCATCTCCTCACTACCACTCGACCCTTGGTGTCCCAGCGAATAAACTATGAGTTGCCTCTTCAGTCGAAAGCCTCAGTTTTATATCTTTTCACGTGAACCTGTAATTTGCCCCCGGTCATTGTCTTGCATGCGTACTTTTCTCACTGAGGTTTGGTTCACACTGCAAATTCGACCTCGCTTCACTTGACCTTTGTTAACTTGACCTTTTTCAATACTCCCCTCTCCCCGTTCAATGTGCACCCAAAAATGGGTCGCTAAAGCTTGTCAACGCAATTAATCAAACAAGTTTTGAGGGTGTGCGGCTCAACAGGCTGCGGAAAAGAGGTCAAAACAAGAATGCCGTGCGCAATCTGCCAGATGAACTTCCAAGCCGCATACGCCAATCTATCGATTAAGAAAATGAAAAAGATGCTGGCATAACAGGACTGCTTTGGTTTTACAGTGATTGCGCGAAAACGTCGGTCATAAAATACATGATGGGCATTGAAAATAGATTTGAGAAGCTACTATTAGCTACGGAGGAAACAGGTAACTTAAAAATGTTACAATTAGAAGAAAATATAGCTACCCTGAGCTCCCAGATCCCTCCGTCGAGCTCAATCCAACGACCAAGGTGTTCGTTAATCAGCAGTGCTCCAACGCAATGCATGACCTCAGTCAAAATAAGCATCGTTTCCACTGTCACGAAAGACGTGATAAACGTTCCTGAACAGAAAAAGGTTCGCCTTTAAACGAACCCCATAATTTCCACACCAAGGTCCTCCATACTGGGTACAAACAGTGGAGGTAGCACCGGTTTGACAATTATCTGCACAAATGTACCCGAACCGACAACCCAACCACTTAGAGAACGACAAGGAGAGGAGATGGAACACTGGATTACTTTGTGCGCTTAGATGGGCATTATTTTTTTCTCCGTCGGCTTCACAAGACTTATGCGCCAGCCGAAATCTCCACGTGCCGGGGAAGCTGGACTGCCCAGGTTGACCCTGAAATATGATGAGGACTTGGAGGACGTACTTCTTTCTAGTTACTTTCTCAGAAAGAGTTCCAACCTAATAAAAATTGTCCCTGATAGGCCATGGATGGAACGGATGCAGCAACAGTCAAAAGTACACCCAAACCTGGAGGACCCTTCTGATGCACCAGATCACTCCATGCAGGTATCGAACTCCACCACGTTATCCGTGGTCAAAAGTGCCAGAGCTCCTCTGCCAAAAAAACGAATGTTAGCCGACCGAGAAGGGGTCAGCCGAGATATAACTTCCTACCCAAGCGGATTTCTACACCAACAGTATCTAAACTGTTTCTACTCTAATGCTCAAGGACTCCTCGGCAAATTTCCAGAGTCGAGTTAACGTTTTATATCGAGTCGATGAGATATTATTGCTGTTACAGAGACATGGCTCACAGCTGATATTTCGGGCTCCGAATTGTCTTTATCAGAGATGTCTCTACAGATAGATATCAAATCTTCTAACTTGTATAAGAAAGCGCGACCATATTCGAAGAAGCCCCAGTGTAACTGTGCGCCCTGCAAATTCACATTGGGTTAACCTTCAAATGTGTGCAATCCCCATGACTATCAAGTCTTCAGCGTTATTAATGGGGTCTGCCTCGATTTTCTGCTGTGAGTGAGTTACGGACTTAGGAGAGCAAATGACTGTTCGCGTCCTTCAGTGACAGACCATAGGTATAAGATAATTTGATCGTGTACTCGATATCACGAGTTTAGTTTGCTCGTCTACTATAGCCCAACCTATTCTTGTTATCAACAAAAATGCAGCACGATGAGCGAATAATTTATTTTTCATCATTGATAAACAGTAGACATTTAAGCTGATCTATCACCGACCCCAGATGTACCCACCCGTAAACTGATAGAACATTTCCGTTTTTATCGTGGCTTGACACAAAAGCTCATATTTCGCAAGAACGATGCCAGCCTCTTAAATGTTTTTATTATTAATTCATAGACTCTTTACTTT